CAAGAAAATCAGGCAGTAGGATTTCAAATCTGGCTCATTCCTCACTGTGATAGGGATCATTTATTGTCTAAGTCTGTTTCCTAGGCCATGAATCAGGATAAAAGTCGATAGCAACATCAGCTGTGATGATATGGATCAAAGAAACAGAGCAACCTAGCACACTGTGAAAAATTGTAAATGTGTTTGCTATTATTATCTGTTTAAGAAATGACTCATTGGAAGAACCACACCTTTCTCTGTATGTTGTCTTGCCCCACATTTTCTATAACTTGTCAATTTCAAAATATCCAATGAAACTAGTTTCGAGTATATATGAATTCTTTTGTCTTAAAAATACTCTGGACTCAGTTTCACGGGCTAGGAAAAAAATATTTCTCTGGTTCTCGAATGGAAAAATAGGAATATTTTGTTAATATGTACTGAAGAAGATAAATATGTAGAAGAATTTAATTTAAAAGTTAGGAAGTGTACCTCACATGCACCTTGAAATATCTAACTTAGCCATTTAGATTTTTATTAAAGATATTTTTCTTGCACCTACAACCTATCTTTATCATTTTATCTATATGTGCCTTCAAATTGCCTCTTGACAGGGGCAGGCAGATGGAGAAGCTTGAAATTATCTGACTCCCTGTAAGGGTTCTACTAGTGGATTCTCTAAATCTTCAATATGCAACACAGTGCCCAGAGGGTTCTGATTCAAAGCTAGATGTGTTATTGAAAGGAATCTCAAAGTAAGGCTAGAGCTTGATATTATGCCCAGGAACAGAAGAGAGATATCAAGCCTCCTATATAAATTGAGTTGCTAACTTGGGGATTAGCAATATAGGAGATCATAGAAAGTGCTCTTGGAGTCCATGCCTGGCAAGGAAAAGTGAAAAACAGGATGAGGAAGCTGGAGAGACAGTTCAAAGGGATGGAAGAAGTGCTTTACACAAGGGAGGCCTAGATTCAGTTTTGCGTGCTCTGTGGTTCCACAAGCATCACTACAAGAATTGAGGTGTTGAGGAGCCTCTGAGCACTGCAGATGTGCCCCAAAAAGAGAGAGAGGAGGAGAAGGGAAGGGAGAAGAGGGGAGGATGGTAGAGTGGGACACTGGTCTATGATAGAGATCAACAGAGGTTTTAGCTACCTCTGTAGCTGGGACAATCTTTCAATGATGTTCTAGATTTTTCAGAGAAAGGGACTAAGGCTGTCTCTCCATGTGGCTCAATCATGGTATATTGCATTTGTGAAAACACAGAAATCTTCATTCTGGGTTATCTTCTACAGGGTTTTGACATCTGAGACCACTATACTCTTGGGTGTTGAAGAAAGCTCTGGATAGCATATTACAATGCTCACACCTTTGACTATCCACGACTCAGTGGCAATTTCTTTTCATTGCCTCCAAAGGAATTTGATTCCACGTACTTGCAATTCTAGATAACCAGATTCTAGATAACCAATCACCTTCATTTATTTTTTAATAAAATATTTGCTGAAATTGTTTGTTGGTACTAAGCCAAGAAACTGTAAATAAGATACATCCCTTATCCTCATTATGAACATAAGTAGTGGAGAAGATAAGTAAGTAAATAATTTTTCTCTCAATCAGTTCTCAAAAATGAAGATCTGATATATTCTTATTACCACAGTTATCTACATTCCACTCATTCATTCTGAATTTCTTCACTCTCTTCTCATTAACAAAATTTGAAAACTCATTAAATAGCATATAGGCAAAAACTTACCTAATATATTTTAATATATAATACATAATATACATTACCTAAAAACTCACCAATAATATTGAAAGAAGCAGTAATGGACACTACCCTAAACAGCAGTGACTTAGCAAATCTGAGAATAGAGCAATCCTTCATACCCTGTTCTGGAAAAAAAAACACCTCTTTTATAGACATGGCCTTGATTATAACAGAGGAAACGTTTCTTGGCAGGTCGGAAATTTGAGTATTGCTTTACAAAGCATTGACATGGCTAACAGACAATACAGGATTACCACATTGTGAAACACTTTTTAAAAATGATTTCTTTGTGTTCATTGTAACATCAGTCATTGCTTCTTACTACTATCTGCCTTATCTTATTATAGTCTTTCATATGCTAAATATTCATTTCTAATATCTTACTTCTACAGAGCATAAAGTAAGATGGTACTGGGGCCAGAGAGATAAAATGGCAGGTAACGTAGTTGCTTTGCATGCAGCTAAACCTGGCTCAAATTTCCAGCACCATATACAGTTTCCTGAGCACAGAGCCAGGAGTAAGCCCTGAGTACCACTAGGTGTGCCCCCCCAAAAAATCAAACCCCCCCCAAATTATGTTTGAGGCTGCAGAGAGAGTATGGCAAGAAAAGTGCTTGCCTGAAGGCAACTAATCTTAATAGCTGGCACAACATATGGTTCCCTGAGCACTACCAGGAATGATCCCTGAGCACTGACAAGTATGGCCCAAAATCCAGTGTGAAAAATAAATGCACATTTACACTAGGTATGAAGAGCAATTTCATTCTCTCCTCACAATGTCACATATATTTCACATTGTGGAGACTTCTGCAGTTTATGCAAGTTATGTGAAATTTAATTTATGAAACAGAGATGCTTACATTTTCTCTGGTATTATATTTGGCCATTGCTCGCTAGTTCCCTCTTTTATTTTTTTGTTTTTATCCATTTTGCTTGATAATACATGTTTCACTGGTTTTAAATAAAATTTTTCAAAAACACTACTTTGTGTTCAAAACACAGAATTCAAGCCACTGAGGAAAACTGCAATGAAAATTGTTTTCAAAAATTCAGCATAAATATATTAAGTGGATCATTTTGTTGAAATGAAATTAACTAACCCTCAATTTTTTCCCACCCCGCCCCCAGTCCCAGGGTTCAGGGATCAAACCTAAGTCACATGTGTGCAAGACATGTGCTTTTCCACTGAGTCACACCTGGTTCCCTCAAGTATTTGTTTCAGGCATTTACCACACTGACCACTATCCACAGAACACTTAGAGAAGCCAGTTACTAGTACACTGAAAAGGGGCTTGCTTTGCATGATGCTAACTCTGGTTCAATCCCCAGCTCTGAGCACCACCAGGAGTGATCCCTGAGCACAGAGAAAGGAAGGAAAGAAGGAATGAGGAGGGAAGGAAGGGAAGAAAGGAGAGGCGGAAGGAAGGAAGGAAGGAAGGAAGGAAGGAAGGAAGGAAGGAAGGAAGGAAGGAAGGAAGGAATTCATTATATCACTGTTTCAGTAAGCAAACAATCAACTTAGCTTAGTGGAAATCATAGAATTAAATTGATTTTCATCATCTATAATATACCAGGTAAAGTTATTTTACCAGCCATCTGTGTCTTAGCTGGAAAATATGGGCAGGCAATTAATTAAATTGCATTATTCCCAAGTTTAGAATTTTATGATTAAAAGTTTATAGGTGATAAAACCACTGGTATACACACACACACACACACACACACACACATGCATGCACACACATGCCTTCACAATGCAATAGTGTAAATGTATTTGAGAAACAAATAGTGATTAGATTTATTTTGATTACCGGAAAATTCTAAATCCCTATTTTCACCTTTTGGATATATTTACATTTACCATATCAAAGAATCTTATTTCACGACAAATGAAAAAGTTACAGAGATATTAAACACCTTAAGATACTTAGCCTCTCCCCTTAGTTTTACCCACAAATGTAGAACCTACAAACTGAATACCTTATAGCCTGTTATATTAGAAACATCTAAAAGCAGGAAGTTTGGGGACACATTATACAGGCAAAAGGAGAATAAGATTAATTGCATATTATCTAGAATAAATACACTTTTAACTAAAGATAATTTTTTAATAAACCCTCAAAGGGTAAAATTTTGTTTTTCAAAGGTGTGAATCCTTTCTATAATTTATAGGTATTTTTGTAACTTACATAAAGTTGTTGAACAGAAGCTGTGGCTATAATTTACGCATGAGGCTTATGCTTGTACTTCAGAGGAGTTACCCACCTCTGGAAATTAGATAAAAATCATTTTCTAGTGGTGAAGATGTATTGACTCGAATTTCCAAAGTAATTTTGAACCCAACGTATTAAAAACACATGGGTTTCTATTTCGGCTCCTTATTTCAGTGACAAGGGTACGAAGTTCCAGAAATGGCTAAGGGAGTTGCCTGGCACCTAGGCTAATTAGCAGCCGAGCCAGGAATAGAACCCAGGGCTGCAGTGTGACCATCAATCCAGTTTCCTCGCCTCCTGCACGCATTAGATGGATTCTATGCACCTTAAAATGGAATTTGAGCCCTAATTTTTCCCGTAACTCCCCTCTCCCCCAAACAGGAAAAGCACTGATGTGAATAAATGAAATCTAAGGGAAATGGTGTAGAGTCGCCACGACAGGGTTAGAATCTGAACCCCAAGCCAGGATCTGAGCAGTCGGTGTCCTTTTAGCAGAAACGAAGCATGCACACAGATTTTCCCGGCTCCTGTCCAATTCCTCACCCTTCCTTACGCGGCAGCTTTTCACCAAATCGTTCAGCTTCGGCTCATTTTCTAACACCTGTGAGTGATGTTCGTCTCCAGTTGGCACATGCTGAATTTTTTTTTCCTCCCCTCCTTTTCTCTGCGTTCTTACGGTTTTCTTCATCCTCCCCTAAAAGTGACAGGAGCGAGATTCCTTTGGGTCCTGAGACACAAGACTAGAGGAGGGGACACACCCTCTGCGTGGCCAGCAGGTGAGGAATTTGCAGGCCAGCCCTATCAGAGCTGCTTTCTTGCAGCAGGCTCGCGGATTGAATCAGGGTGCACAAGCGTGGCACGGATGGTGGCACCTGGAATTGCAAAGCCGCCGCCTTATCCATCCTAAACTTGGGCCTCTCCTAGTTTTCTAGACACTCCAACTGCTCCTGGTGACACGTTCGAGCGAAACTCAGCCGCAGGTGATGCCGCAGACCTGCTTCTGGGCTGTCTCATCACTGTTTTTTTCCATCTTTTCCAGCTGGCGCATGTCCTACCCACAGAGGAGAACTTCCTGCTGCTCTTCCGATGCCAGCAGCTGAAATCCTGCGAGGAATTCATGAAGGTATAAATAAGCCCTGTCGCTGAGTAATGTCTGCAGAAAGCTGCTTACAGTAGGACATGGCTGACTTGTTAAAAATGTGTTTGGTTTTCTTTATCCAACATTGACTTGCAGACCTGGAGAAAATATGATACCGATCACAGCGGTTTCATCGAGACTGAGGAGCTGAAGGTAAGCAGAGAGCATCCTGCGAGCCTCTTGCCAACACAGTGATGAACCCTGAAGCTTTTTAAAAAAAAAAAAAAACTCCCACAAAAGAAACTAACATTGAGCAATAGCACAGTCTCACCCACTCTCCCACCTCCTTAATGAGGTACCGGATCAAAAAAGAGACTTCAAGTCCTTATTGAAATTCTGAGCAGCAATGCAAAGAAATTCGCGTTTCCTGGGCAAGAGGGATAGTAGAGGGTGCTCCCCTTATATACTGCCAACCCAGATTCTATCCCTGGCACCCCATAGGGACCCCATAGACAAAGCTGAGCATAACCCCTTTGAGCACAGAATCAGAAGTAAGTCCTGAGCATCACAGGGTGTGCCTTTCCCCTAAAAAAAAAAGCAAAAAAAGATCATTTTTGTACCTTTTTGGTACGCAAAAACTATTACATAATATAGAGACCATAATAAGCCAAATAAGTCACGTCACTTCCCTTCATTAGAAAGTGAATTTGATTTTTCACTACATACCTACATAAATGACTTCTTTTAAGGGACAGAAAAACAGTTTATTTTATATGTTCTTATTCTGTGTGCTTTCCACATATTACCTTACTTAATCTTCACACAGCATAATTTTATGAGTTTTGTATACTACCCCAGTGAGAAATAAAGCTAAGCGACATTAAGCAATTTACTAGAATCCACACAGAAATGAGACACTGTATTTGGTACGGAAACCCCATCACTCTGCCTCTGAGGATGGCATGTTCCACTCAACCTCCTGCCTCTCCAAAGTTCCAACGCTATCAAATATCTGAAAGATTGCAACTTTGAAATCAGGAAGCAGATCCCTAGCCCTTAGATGAGCAAAAGAGCTGGGGAAGGCATGAGAGGATATAAGGGAAGCATCCTGGAGATGAAGTCTGACCTCTGGATAAATCCATCACTAGGACTTTATATCTTTAAAATAAGGGCAATAATACCTTCTTCTCAAAGTTATTGTGAAACTGAAGATCTTGCACACAAAAGAACTCATCAATTATAAGGCAAAATAAATGATGTTATGAACTCATTTATAACTTCCTAGGTTTTCAGAAATAAGGAAGCATAGTTCTCCCTTTTCCTACCGAGAAACTTCTCGGTCTAGAAATCCCTCTGATCTCCACCATCAGGACAGAGGATGACTGAAATGGAGACAAATTAATGTTTATTGAATGCCTATGTAGCAGACATAGTGTTGGATACTTAAAATGTATTTCAATATTTCAGTCTTATAAAAACTGAAATATTAAGATATGGGCAAGGGCCAATAGTAGGTTTCCAATTAAACAAACAGAAAAAGTTCAGAGATAAGACCATTTTCTCAAGATTACATAGCAATATAGTTTCCTAGAATTAAGACTATATAGATATCTGACAATGTTAATAATGGCAATTTTCCTCACATACCACCACACTGTTTTAGAGTTCAGTTTTCTAAAGCTATGTCTACTGTGCTATCTGGAGAAATATTAATATCAAGCACAATTTTCTAGTAAGGACTTAGTGTTGTTTCTGTTCAGTTTTAGAGATGGGATTGACACATTTGTGCAAATGCAATTAGCTAAAACATATTCAACTTTATCCTGTTCAAAATGTAAACATTTTTAATGTTAAGCTACATTTTGACATTTTTAATGTCAAAAACAATCTAACAAACTTGCATATCTGCAAAGTCTGTAACAGCTAAGTTACTGTCTTTTTAGTCTAGAGAGAAAAAAAAGATTTTTTTCTTTTGAAAATCATTTCTAGCTCATGGTGAAAACCATAGCTCATATCCAATACTGACCTGAAAATATTCTAAAGGTCTCCTTCTTTGTTCTAAATTTTAGTCTCAGGAAGGGATTCTAAATAGAAGTCCTCCTCTCTGGGGACTTTTGAAGATAAGTTGGCATTCTTTTTTAATGGATCTTTCAAGAAAGCTAATTTTAAGATCCATAATAGAGTAAAACATCACTTGCCCTCAGACACGACTTTGAATCTCAGCATCTCAAGGTTTCAACCGGGCTATTTTTGTGACCACCATTTCAGTCTCTGATGAGGCTTTTAACCCAATTAATCTCTGACAAAAGCCTCATAAGACTCAAAAATAAAATTTGCCTCTAACAGATAACTTTGAATTTTATTGTACCTCACTTTGGATTTCAACATGGATGTCTGAAGTTTGGAAATGAGGTTCTCAAACCAAGAAAAAGGTCTCCTTTCTTGAAAAGAGTCAAGTTAAATCAGTCCAGTATAACTGCGCCTTTAAGAAAGGAGAGGAACCACCAAAGAAGCAAAAATTCTTGGGAACATAGTTAATGCATATTAGCACCCATAATTGCCAACAAAAATGTTGCATACGAAAAGCAACAGACACAATGAAAATTATAAACTATTTGATGCCAAAGTATTTCCTTAACATATACATGGAAATTTTTCATAATGCCTTATCTGATTTATTTATCTGGTTAAAAAAATAAATACAAGGGCTGGAGAGATAACACAGTGGGTAGGGTGTTTGCCTTGCACGCAGCCGACCCGGGTTCGATTCCCAGCATCCCATATGGTCCCCTGAGCACCGCCAGGAGTAACTCCTGAGTTCAGAGCCAGGAGTAACCCCTGTGCATCGCCTGGTGTGACCCAAAAAGCAAAAATAAATAAATAAATAAATAAATAAACTTCCTCCCAAACTTCAACTATCAAATTAGTAATCTTTTTTGCCACATTAATCTGAATTTTGTCATTCCTATATGCTTAAAGATCAGATTACATTATCCACAGATAATGTAATTATCAATTATTGGTTTGTTTGTGTGTGTGTGTGTGTGTGTGTGTGTGGACAATCATTTTATTTTAAACAGTCTACTGACACATTCTAATAGAAGTCTTTCGGATTACAGTGGAATCAAAGCATAATAGCTAGTGGCCTCTGAGAAAAAGGAGCATCCTAGATATAAAGTGATGTAAAAGATAGTTGGTGAGCATCAAAATATGCAATTTGCATTTGAGATAGATATCCATCCAGTTTCTTGACAACTTTTCACACCTTGTTGTAAAGGTTTAAAAGGGCCTGATGCTTCTTACAGAAGAGTCCCATGAGTTCTGGGAAGATCTGAGATAGATATGCATTCATTGGGCTGGTTGTTTTTACAGTTTTTACTTAGATTCCTACACACTCCACACAGGATATTTATTTCATTAATATGCTTAAATTATGCTGTAGCAAAGACTACATCAGGTCTCAGTTAAAAGCAGGTATTATATTGTATCTAACAGAGGTTGCATCTGCTGGGGAACCCAGAGGTAAATACCCGCTTTCCTTTCCCTTTCTTTTTTTTTTCCCCAATCTTATTGAATCACCGTGAGATAGTTACAAGCTTTCATGTTTGGGTTACAATCACACAATGATCAAACACCCATCCCTCCACCAGTGCACATTCCCCACCACTAGTATCTCCGGTATCCCCCTCCTCTTTCACCCTCCCTCACCTCCATGGCAGACAATATTCCCCATACTCTCTCTCTACTTTTAGGCTTTATGCTTTGCAATTCAGACCCTTAGAGGTTATCATGTTTGGTCCTTTATCTACTTTCACCACACATCTCCCATCCCGACAGGTTCCTCCAGCCATCATTTTCTTAGTGATCCCTTCTCTATTCCAGTTGCCATCTTCTCTTTCGAGTTTCATTTCTCATAAGGTTTTAACCTTAGAGAGACCTCCTTTGCATTCCTGGAATTTTAAGTTTTAAAGGTGGGCTGAAATGGAAGTACACTGCAAAGTACTGTTAAAATTGATCTGAGTGTTCTGTCTCAACAGAACTTTCTAAAGGATCTACTAGAAAAAGCAAACAAGACGGTTGATGATGCAAAACTAGCTGAGTATACAGACCTCATGGTAAGACTGCTCTTGAAAACTTTGTGTCAAGAGATTATGAAATGTTACTGTGGTCTTGTTAATTCCCAAGGCTGTGGGGTGAAATAAATATAACACATAGATATTCATTTCATTTGAAACGTAGACTTAATGATCCTTATAAGGCTGAGGGTTGACGATATTGGCTCAACATACAAGTATTCCCTTTCTTGTGGAGTTAGGTGAATTTTATCAATCAAAAATCACTTATGAAGTCAGTGTCATTGCATCAGTAAATCCTATAACTTAGGTACAGGTCACTGTCACTGTCACTGTCCTCCCATTGTTTTAAATTAAATATGTAAATTTTATCACTAAAACTCATTATCATAGAGATTCTAAATCAGTTGTTTCTATGGTTTAGAAAACCATGGGTTTTGTTAAAATTTAAAGCAAGTTGAGACACTTTATTGAATGACATAATGGGTATTTCTCTTTTTTTTCCTTTTGATTTTTATTACTATGCAATACTGCCTTAGTTCTTCGGGTGATAAAATCCAGATCCTAAGTTAAAACCAAGATTTATTATAGAACAATGTAGAACCAAGAAAATTGCTTCATAGGTAAGGAGTTAATATTTTAGAAATGAACATTGAAAACGTTGATTTATAAATATTTCAAAATACATTTTAAAGTTTTAGGTAAAATAATCCATACCCATGAGTATAATAAATTTCAATTCAATAAAATATCTTTTTTTATTCCTTCTCCTACTTCCTTTTTTTCTCATCATTATTGTTGATGTATGTTGTTGCAGTGACCCAGGATTATACACACAGGCCTGATTCTGATGCTCACACATTTTTTTAAATCTTCCTTGGGAGAGTCACACATCTGGTGCTCCCACACTTACCAGTGTACACACTTAAGTTTTTGTCCCTCTAATCGTGGTGACTGCACAGATGGTTTGCTGTGGGTGGTACAGATACAGCGGTGATACTTGTCCACCATCACTGCTATGTGCATACAAGAGCTCACCAGAGGTCACCCTTACTAGCAGTCATGCTCACTCTTTTTAGTTGCAGTACTTATTGGAGATTGCACCCCCTTTTGTGGTGCTCTCACATACCCAGTTGTTGTGTGGCCAGAAATTTGTTCACGGCATCAAGAATAGCAGAACTACCAGATACAAATAAGAGATGCTTGAATCATGCTCAGGGCATGTGGTCACTGGGGATTTGAACTCATGACCATATGCTTACAAGGTAGGCATTCTGAGTTGAAACAATTTTTCTCAGGACCTAAGTCTGCCCATCATGACAGCCTTAGAACTATACAGAAAATTCTGCCAAATATAATCAAATCATGGACCAGTTTTTTTCAACATTAGTTGTTTGATTTTTGAACTATGAACTTTGAAAGTTTAAATTTTCTGTATTAGCACATTTATACATGCTATAAGTACTATGTAAATATAGTGAAGTCTTACCACACTGGTTAAAGAACTCACAAAGCATAGCTACATATTATAAAAGTTGTACTGATAGAAAGTCATAATTTTGTTTAGCTTAGAAATAATACATAAAGGGTATAATTATATTTATATGACAGATTTACTTTCTGCTTCCCAGTCAATGTTTGCATTAGATTTTTTAAAAATGAATAAAATAAACTAAAGGAAACATTTTCATCTTATTCACTGCAGGATGAAGTGGGACTAATTTTCGGTTTCAAAGCAAAACAAGTTGAAGCCAGAGCAATAGTACAGCAGTGAGGGTGCTTGCTTTGCACATGGCTGACCCAGGCTCATTCCCCAGCACCCTGTATAGTCCTTGCACCCAGCCAGGAATGAACCCTGATGCTGGTAATGGATTGGTGTTGGGAAGTTGTACACCTGAACCTCGATTATAAACAACTTCTAAATTATAGTACTATGAATAACTTTGTAAATCGTAGTGCCTCAATGAAATTTAAAACAACCAAAAAAAACCCCACAAAATTTCGGAAATAAGTGCCCTCTTTAATTCCTCATCACATTTCCCCTCGTCATAAGTTATCATAGCATCTGCACTCAAATGTGTCACTGTGGGACAGCCTAAGGTCTGCATAACTTTTAGCTAATGGACAATAACCTACATTTATCAGTTTTCTGTTTTGTGCTGATCTTTAGGGATGTCTATTTAAAGATTCCTCTTCAGGTATAAATTTGAAGTGATCTTTTTAGAACCACTCAGATGGGACTTTTTCCCCCATTGGATTGGCCTGGCATATCTGATTAAATGTCATAAACCAGTTCAAATCTGGGAAGCAAATTAATCAAGAACTAATTAAAATTTAAATATGTATGTGGGGAAATAGTTCCCAGTGGACTCTAAACGGTTTGATCTAGTGTCCAGTATTTTGCTAGACAGCATGGTCCTGGTAGAACTTATGGTCAGTGGAGTATAAACTATTGTATCATCAGATCCTGGGGAAGTCTGCTTTCTTCGTACATCTAAAACCATATTGAGCCCTTCCTTTTTTCCAAAAGAGACCTCACTAAACCTAAATTTATTATGACCTGTTTAGAAACAAAAGATGCTACTTTTTCAGATACTTAATATGCACATTTTACATAATGTCCTCTGTGTAATATAGTATTTAGTGTGGCGTTAGTAGTTTCTTTCTAAGAACTGAGTGCTTCTCAAACACAGGGTTAACTGTTTTTATATCTGCATGTGTTTTGGTATATTGTGTAAGTGAAATGGGTTCATAGGGAGTTTGGTTGCATTTCTAGAATCCAGACGATTAAAAACACTCAGAATTACCCAAGTAATATATTCTCTAAATACGCATTTGTATTATCTGTCTACTATGTTTGTACTCATGCTCTAAAAGAGGGAAATAAATTTAATTTTACACTGTTTGGGGAAATACAGAACAAGCTGTGACTATAGACAGAACCTGACAGATCACTGATAAATTCCTTGTTAAAATTATTTTCTCTATTGATATAATTGGCCTTAAGACAATCTTGTCACACACAAAAAATAAAAGAACCAGTTAAATAGTTTGCTTTGAGAATTTGGTTTCTAGGTTTTTGTTTGCTTGTTTTTTTTCTGACATAATACTCTCATTTTTGTTGGTTTTCCGGGTTGATTTGGGGTTTGGGGGGGGGAACACCCAGTTGTGCTTGGGCTTACTCCTGACTTTGTGTTTAGAGTTTAATCCTGGTGGTATTAGGGGCAACCCATATAGTCCCCTAAAGTACTACCTGGAGGATCCTTGAGCACAATCAGGTGTGACCAACTCTCCCCACCAGACCCCAAATTACTCAGTGTGAAGTAAAATAAGGTAAGGCAGGTTGTATGCTATGCTAGAGAATGGTAGTACATCCATTTATTTGCAATTCATTTACTGAACACAATCATCCGTCCTACCATCACAGCCAAAAGTTTGCCATGCTACGGTCAGTACAAAAGAAAAAGTGAGTAATTCACAACAATCATGGGGAGGATTATCAATTCTGCAACAAATTCCAACGAAACAGATTGTTCTTTGATACCATCTTCACCAAATTTATCATGAAATATTAGAAGCTGAAGGCAAAAGAATAATGAAACTTCTCCTAGCCCCCCTCACCACGATACATAAATAATTCCTCATAAAAATTTATTTCTTGAAATTCATGGGTTTAATTTGCTTTCTGATAGTTTAAAATGGGAAAATGTTGTTATTTAACATAGAAGTTGGCTTAGACGGCTTGATGAAGAACCGGTCATACTATGGGACATTTCAATGTACTTTAAAGATGTACCATCATTAATACTGTAAATGGAACACTAAACTATAGCAAGGTTGTATAACAGTGTCCTCATCTGTCACACAACATTTTAGAAGACTAGCACAACACAACAGAAAGCTTAGTTACAAACACATATTTTAGTTATAAACATACAAACAAGCATACAGACAAGATTTATTTCATTAATCAATAACAGGTCTATTGCTTGAATCCATACCAAGATATTTGGAAAATTATTGCTCTCCTACTGGAGAGGAAAATTAGCCTCCCTCCCCCCCCAAAAAAAAGTTTCATTCTGCTTTTAAAATTAATGTTCCTCTTATTTTTCATAATCTCCTTTTCATGGCCAAAAAATATCTTGTAGTAAATTTAAATTACTTCTGGGGTAAAAATGTTTCTGAAAAAGAGCTTGTAGCAAAGCCTAACACCCAGTCAGACTCCACTCTCCCATATCTTGATAGACATATTTGCAAGAGAGTAATTTAATTGGTTAATTAAATATTAGCCTAGCTAAGATTAGTATTTGAAAATTCTACATAATAAACTTGGTCAATTGACAGAAATTATGTAATTGAACATTTGCACTGGAAGCTGAATAAATGTTTATTTCCAGAACTTTTCTGTCTTCATAAAAAATTATAATTCAAACTCTTAATATTTTTCTCCTTCATACACTCAACCAATCCTCAGTGGTTATAATAATAACATTTTATCTTTCAGCTGAAATTGTTTGATTCAAATAATGATGGGAAGCTGGAGTTAACTGAGATGGCCAGGTAAGTATGGAAATTATGCAGATATAATAAGGTATTTCTTGTTAATAAATGAAGTCTATTAATATAACATTTTTATCTCAAAAGGTTACTGCCAGTGCAGGAGAATTTTCTTCTCAAATTTCAGGTATTTAACTATTTTGTACCATAAATAACTTTTTCCTTTTTTTTCTTTTAAAATGGATAATTACCAAGGGAAATATGCTGGCATATATTAATAACATTTTAACCTTTGCTCTCTCTTCTCTGTCATTTAGGGAATCAAAATGTGTGGGAAAGAATTTAATAAAGCCTTTGAGTTATATGACCAGGTAAACATTGATTCTTATCTATAATTTGATTCCTTAGAGACACTTCAGAAGCTCTTGAAACCCTTCAAACTCACGGTTCCTATTAAAAGAAATGTAACTCTTAAAATTAGCCCGTTCATTCTTTTCATAGGAAATGTATGCTGGTATGCCCAAATTAGACAAATCTTAATTCAAATCCCATGCTACAGTTTATTTGCTGGGAGTCTTTGAATAAGGCATCAAACTCTCCTGAACTTCACCCACATTTGTAGGAGAGGAATACTAATACCCAACTTGCAGGGTTGAATAAAGATTAAACTGCATGCAAGGCTGGGGAGACAGTACAACAGGTAAGTCTTCCATGCCTCCAGCCTAGGTTTAATCCCCATCACCACACAGAGTCCCCTGAGTCTCTCCAGGATTGACTGTGTACAGAGCAAGGAGTAATCCCTGAGTGCCCCTGGTGTATCCCTTCTTCCCCCTTCCCACACACAGAAGGACTAGAGTAAATGAGCATATCAGCAGCATAGCCCACACACCTCTTGTGTAGATGGTACCATCATGTGTGTGAGGACTGATTGAATCTTGGTTCAAGTCCCTTTACTCCTTCTGATTTCTATATTCCCGGCCTTAGTAAAGGTCTGCCACCATCTGATGTGACATCAGGCCACACACAGCTGACCTTAGTGGCCTTACTCATCATGTGAACATCCTGGGTGATGTATTTTTCCACCAAGATGTTAGTGAATTGTATTTACACCAAAATTATAGATAAAAACATGACCAAAATGTGAAATACTTTCTAGTTCAAAGGGTAACATACAATAAAGGTTTAATATATTTTACAAAGGCATGGTGTTGAGGGAATAATCAATTCTACTTTCTTTTGGAATTCTGCAATATTTAAAATGTTTGAGGGTCTGACATAGAGGTTAGAAGATATGCCAAGAGGAGTTCATATTATTTCATTTCCCCATTATTGTGGATGCAGTTGACTGTATAGTGTATGTTTTTCCACCAGGATGGCAATGGATACATAGATGAAAATGAACTGGATGCTTTACTGAAGGATCTGTGTGAGAAGAATAAGCAGGTAACTCAGCTACCATACCAGTGATTTTTTAGCAGATTTTACTGGTCCATCCAGAAGCAATTTTCTAAAACATTAGAAGAGGCTGCATTTTCAAAAAAAATATATGTCAAAATGTATTGGAGGTACCAGAGCTCAACTAACTTTATTTGCTACTGACCCAAATTAGTACAACTGAGATAAATTTAAAATAACTCTTGTGGTTATTCACATTTGTATAAGAATTTAATCCAGCTCTTTTCTTAGTGGGTTGATATTAATGAGCAGATTTCATTTTACATTTTATCACTTGACAGTGACTAATTAACTTCCATATTTAACTGGATTATCATGCCGTCTATGTTCTGTACAGGAACTGGATATTAATAATATTACAACTTACAAGAAGAACATAATGGCTTTGTCGGATGGAGGGAAGCTTTACCGAACAGATCTCGCTCTTATCCTCTGTGCAGGGGACAACTAGAGTCAATGACCACTTACACTAGCGATACATTGTATCTAAAAAATAACTGTGCACTATAAGGGTGTAGGCTGTATTTTCTTTTATATCTGTAAATTTAACTGCATATAGATAATTATCCAGGATGTGTGGCACATTCTTTTCAGCTTGTTTCTATACTGTTTGTAATGTACAGATTTTATAAGTATACGATTGAAAAGGAGAACGTCTATGCTTAGACCAGTCAATATACCCAATTTAAAAAAAAAATAATCTGGGGCTGGAGCAAGAGCACAGTGGGTACAGTGGGTAGGGAGTTTGCCTTGCGCTCGGTCAACCCGGGTTCGATTCCCAGCATTCCATATGGTTCCCTGAGTACCGCCAGAAGTAATTTCTGAGTGCAGAGCCAGGAGTAACCCCTGTGCATCATCGGGGGTGACCCAAAACAAACAAAAAAAACTAACCTAACATTAATTTCATAAGCATAATTTGAACAAAATTTTCCTAAAATTTCCACCAAGATGGATATTTAAAATTCTATTCTCAAATGTGCAAATGTACATTTGTCACTAAATAGGAGAGTTTTACATAAGTAGCCAAGTATTCTAATTTAAGACAATCATAGGTCTATCCTAGAAAATATTTCTAAGCTGTATTTTCAAGTATTAGAAATAATGCGATTTGGCAACTAAAATATCAATCAATAATTAATTGTTGCTCTATGAAATTAACATTCTTACTAGACAAGATTTAGGTCATTGATCAATAACAGGTCTATTGCTTGAATCCATACCAAGCTATTATTGGTTCAAGTTGACATGATATTGGAAGGCAGTAGTGGACAATGCACAAATTTGTCTGAGTCTAAATCTGTATTTTCAACAAGCCTGCTTTCAGAGTATGACTTTAATCCATTTTCTAAACTGTTTTCTCGTGTTGCTAATTATAATTATCCTAGAGACTGCTGTTTTATGTCCTATTCTGTGTGATCTGATTAAATTTAATATAACAAGTATCCTAGTGTCAAGTTTGCATACTTCCTGGATTTTCTTTCTATGTAGAATTGTTCATTTCCACCAAGGGTACCTGCTGCCTTTGAAAATATTTTTTTCTAGCTATAACAACTCTATTTTTTACTACATAATTGAATTTTAATGTAAAATCATAGCACCCTGATTGTTCAATGTTATATCATCAATAATTTTGTGTATTCTGTGAATTCTATATTTCATATTGAGATCAGTATTCAAAATAGTTCAATTTCTATCTGCAAATAGTTTGAAATGAGTTAAATTATATGCAAAGAGAAATGTTAATATAATCCTATTCTTATTTAGCAAGGGATGTCCCTTTACATTCTTTGACCCGTGACCAAATCATATTTCACATATTGGTAGCTAGAATAAGCTAAACTGGTTGCAACTGATGTGTGATAGTTGGTGGTTCCTTATTCTTTTAATGTAAGCAGAGAGCTATGAGAGATACATCTGTTGGAAATTCATAAAATTCCCACCAAAGAGTTGATGGTTCTGGGTCATTTTCATTACAGCCATTCTACAATTCAACATGAATTTTCTCAAATCACAGAAACAGCAACAAAAAATACCATGATGTATCTCTTTTCCCAAAAGCTGAACAGAAATCAGTCAGAAAACAAATATTATCAAATGATGTGAGTGGTAGATTGACTTTGCTTTTAGTGTGTAAATGGAAGCACTGACTTTAGGCTGAATTTAACTATTAAGAATTAATAAAGAGGAAAATAACTCTAAACTTTTGTATTTTTGTTTCTTCTTCAAAGAGGGACTAGATGGGCTAGAAAGATGAATTAAAGGGCTGGAGCAGGGGCTGGAGAGATAGCACAGTGGGTAGGGTGTTTACCTTGCATGCGACCAAACTGGGTTCGACTCCCAGCATCCCATATGGTCCCCTGAGCACTGCCAGGAATAACTCCTGAGTGCAGAGCCAGGAGTAATCCCTGTGCATCGCCGGGTGTGACCCAAAAAGCAAAAAAAAAAACAAAAAATAAAAAACAAAAAAAGGGCTGGTCATATATTTGTAGGTAGGAACCCCAGGTTTGATCCTGGCACCACATGGTCCTCTGAGCACCCATCGGAGTAGCCAGTAAGCACCCACTGGACGTGACTCCCCTCCCAGCCCTACACACACACACACACACAAACATACACACATACACACATACACACACCACACACACACACACACACACACACACCCCTAAAAAGAGAAACTTGATAACTAAACTATGAACAGCCAGTTGGAAACTCAAATATAGAAAACTCAAATTATTAATGGCCTAAGCCATCCAGTGAAATGAACACCCGACTTGGTAATTATTGGATGCCCCCATGGAACTGCTGTGTCTCTGGCATTCAGATTTACAGAGAAATCTCAAAAAAAAAACACCCTCAAATATTTAGACATAATCAACTATTTCCTCATGAAATGTTTCCAAAGAAATAGAGGGATAGGACAGATAAGGGATTCAAGAACCTCAAATCCCCTGGATTCAGTTCAAGAGTGAAGTAGAAGTTATCCTCCACCAATGTGACACACCTAGCTGGAAAAAGAGTCATCTCCTCAACGTCTAAATATAACTCATAATGTAAAAAATGAGATACAGGAGCCAGAGCAATAGTACAGCAAGTAGGGTGTTTGCCTTGCACACAGGTGACCCAGGTTCGTTCCCTGAGCACCAACAGCAGTAATTCCTGAGCATAAAGCCAAGACTAACCTCTAAACATTGCTGAGTATTGCCCAGAAACAAACAAAAACAATTAAATTAAGCCCATCTAAAATGTGTGTTAAAGGTGAGACTGTTTTATTCATAATGATATATTATCCAAATATTAAAAAACAAATATTAGTAATCAGAATACCAAATTATTAGTCATCAAATACAAATTAAATAAGATACTAGCCATCCACTCTTAGAAAGGCCAAGATTAGAGATGTTAAATGCTAAATACAGTCCAGGATGTGGCACAATAGAAATTCTTACACACTAGTGGGAGGTTAAACTAATAAGACTTTGGACGTCTATCCCACCACCAATCATTTCACAATATCTACAAAATATGAACATAGGCAGAGCATATAATCTCACATTTTCCTTCAAGATTGTATAAAACTTCAGAGAAAGGTATATGCATCTTTACCAATGGAAAAGAAGAATTCAAACAGCAACACTGCATTTGGCGTACTCCCAAACTAGAAACAAACAAATATCTGAGTAGCAGAACTATCAGATAAATTTTGGTATAGTTCATATAATGAAATATTATGTAATAGTGAGGAGGCATACACAATTTCTGTACAAATATAGAAGGGCTTAATGGTCCCTCTGTGAAATACAACAATCTTCACACTCTTTCCTCTAAGGAAATTTTTTGTAGCATTTTCAGTAGTTTTTCATAAGAAGCTGGAGCCATAGCACAGCGGTAGGGCGTTTGCCTTACAAGCGGCCAACATGGTCGACCCGAGTTCGATTCCTCCGCCCCTCTCGGAGAGCCCGGCAAGCTACCGAGAGTATTCGATATGCCAGACACAGTAACAACAAAGTCTCCAATGGAGACGTTACTGGGCCCGCTCGAGCAAATCGACGATCAACGGGAGGGCCTTTACCTTTACCTTTACCTTCATAAGAAGCAATACAAAGTATATTATTTCAGTTTTGCTTTGGGGCAGGGATTGGGGTTCAGGATGGAAACATCTGAAACATGGTGGTGGGAAGATGTAATAATGATGGGATTGGTGTCTGAACATTAAATGTAATCAAATATTGTGAACTACTTTATAAAATTTTTTTAAAAATTTTAAAAGTTGGAATCGAAAGAACATACACTGCATAATTCTACTCAGATGAACGTCAAACAGCTGAGCTATAAGGTAAGCAATCGAACACTGGTTATTTTAGGGAGAGATAGAAAGTCATAAAGGGGGGTTATACAGTACTTCGGATTCCTGGTGATATTCTGTCTCTTCTCTGGGTAGTGGCTACATAAATATATCCATTTTGGATTATTAATCTGTTTTTTTTTGTTCTTTGAGAAAGTACATGTCAATTTGTAAGTTTGAAAATGAGCAGGTGTTAGTCTCTCGTTTTGTTGCTTTATGTTCCCCAGATGAATGCAATCTTTCTGTGTCTATCCCGCTCTTTCTGACTCATTTCGCTTAACATGATACTTTCCATGTAGTACCACTTGTATGTAAATTTCATAACTTCATCTTTGCTAACAGCTACATAGTATGAGATTAGTACCAGGAATTTTGCTCCATGACTTGAAGGCCAGCCACACATGCTAGGTGAAAAGGAAGCTCAGATAGAGAAGAGAGCACCAAATAAAGGGTGTTGTGAAGACCCTCCCAGGGTGGGAGAAGCATGCTAAAAGTAGTCCATAGACCAAACATGATTGCCACTCAAAGCCTCTCTTGCAAAACACAGTACCCAAAAGAAGAGAGAGAGAACAAGGGGGAATGCCCTGCCACAGAGGCAGGGTGGGACAGGGGTATGGGGGGTGGGAGGGATGCTGGGACCTGTGGTGGTGGAGGATGGGCACTGGTGGAGGGATGGGTACTTGATCATTGTATAACTGAAACCCAAGTACAAAAAATTATAAGTCTATAACTGTACCTCATGGTGTTTCACTAATAAAAAAATTTAAAATTTTTTAAAAATAAAAAATTTAAAAAATTTAAAAATAAAAAAGAAAATGAGCAGGGGGCCAGAGTAACAGTATAGCAGGTAGGGGACTTATCTTGCACCAGGCTGACCCCAGTTTGATCCTTGGTAGATGGTCCCCTGAGCCTGCCAGGAGTGACCCCTAAACACTGAGTTAGGAGTTAGCCCTGAGCACTGCTGTGTGTGGCCCCCAAACCAAAATTAATATAGAAGTGAAACTGAGCAAAGCCACAATGGCTATGAATAGAAAGGACTTGGCCTCCTTCTGCAATTACCACAAATCTATATCCAAACTAGGATTACGAACAAAGTTTTTACACCAAGAGGCAAAACATCCACATGGATGGGAGACAGAGATCCCCTCACCAAGGAAGAAACCTTTCTGTGGAAAGACAAGTTGCATCAAGAAGACATTTCAACGGTGTAGAAATTAGCCCTCAGGAACAGGTGCAGCAACTGGGGTGATGGTGGTGGGAAGCTGTACTGGACACCAGTATCCAAATTCTAACATCCTACACTCACAAAACTGAAATGGAAACAAGAAAATACAGGGCTATAAACAGCTTTTAGAGTTGCTAAC